AAGTGGCGGAATATTCCGAAGACGGAGTGAGCCCCGGGCTGGCGGGTTCCTGCGCGCGCCCTTTCCCCCCCGGCACGCGCCTTCGGCCCATCCGAGGCCCCATCTACTGCGCGCCCCCAGATCCTCCAGGCATTGCTGTGGTAACACGGCCGCCCTCTCCCCCGCGGCGCAGGCGGCCGGGTCTGGGCCCGGGCGCGTGGCTGGGGAAGGCGCGGCCGGGAGTTTCCGCTGGGACCCGCCTTCTCCCCAACCGCCCACCCCCAGTCTAGGTCTGGACCCACCTTCAGGCCTGCTGGTGGGACGGAGTCGTAGTCCAAGGGTGGGGGAGAAGCGGTTGGTCTGGCTGTGATTTATCGTCGGGGATGGATCCTGCTTGTAACCGGAGGGAGATGAGCTTGCCAGGTGAAGGCAGTCCTGGTGTCGGGACTGGAGGTGGGACGTTGGCGCCCTGAAGTTCATGCAGGAGCCGGCAGTCCGGAAATCTTGCTCCTCTGGGCAGTTCAGTTGCCTTGACAGGGGAGCCATCTCTCTACTCTGAGTCTGTTTCCGCGTCTTTAAGATGAGGTTACACTCTGGGTCGCATCTATTTCACGGGTTTGAGGTGAGGAGTTAACACGTGGTCTGTCGAGTGGAGGGGTTTCCAGGTGCATCAGACCAGCCAAGTAATTTTGTTAAAAAATTACGGCTTTTTCCACTGGCACGGACTGTGAACATCGCAGGAAATCTGGTTGTCAGTGAATGTTCAGCTGTCACAGCTGGTTCGTGTCGTCAGCATACCTTGGGCAACTAGGGATTTCGAATATGCCCATTCTTTATCGTTTTTTAAATTCTCAAAAACCTTTTGACTTAATTTAGCTGTCTCCAGACACCTTATTTTTAGTTCTCAAATTTCCTTTAAAAAGTCACTCGTCACTTTTCTGCTTAAATGCGTCTAAAGACTCACTGTCTCATCGAGCCTTTGCAGCAGCCTGCAAGATCTTATACTATTTTGTTTTCTGCTCTGTCCTCGTTTACTACCTTTCCCTTGACCATTCCAGCCTCACCAGCTTCCTTGCTATTCTTCCACTGTAGGAATAAACTCAGTTCATGGCCTTTCCGCTTGCTTTTGTTCCTTCTGCCTTAAATGCTCTTCCCTCAGCTCAACTCACCTCCTTCCAGGCCTTTGCTCAAAAGTCACCTTCTCAGGGAATCCCTTTTTGCAAACCTAATTGCAGCTTCCACCATTTGGTACTTGCCTTACCTGCTTAGATGACTTCCATAGCATTTATCACCATGTAACATGCAACACAATTTATTATTATTTTTTTTCTATTCTCCTGCTAGATGTATTCTTTACTACATGTAAGCTCCATGAATTTATTTTGCTCACTCCCATATCCCCTGCCTTTAGAGTAGTTCCTGGCATCGTAGGTGCTAAATAAACATTTGTTAAGTGCATTGATAGAAGTTATAACTTTGATCAATGATAGGGATCNCTGCGCAGGCGCCGTGAGAGGCGGTAGCGGCGGCGGAGGTGCTAGCGGCGGCAGCTGCGAGGGGGTTCCGGGAAGATGGTGCTGATTAAGGAATTGTGAGTGGGTCGGTGGGCGCAAGCGAGCATCTGGGATGGCGGTGGTGGGAGATTTACTGATTGAGAAGTGGCGGAATATTCCGAAGACGGAGTGAGCCCCGGGCTGGCGGGTTCCTGCGCGCGCCCTTTCCCCCCCGGCAC